TAAATGAATAGATAGGTATTATTACTTCCAAAATGGTAAATCCATCCACCCATTTTCTGTCACGCTTATCCCAAGCGGTGCTGGTGCCTATCTCCAGCTGTCTACGGGTGAGAGGCAGGGTCCACCCTGCACAGGTCGCCAGTCCATCACAGAGACAAACAACCATTCACACACACAAACACCCACACACACCTAAGGAGAATTTAGATAGGCCAATTAACACAATTTTTGGATTGTGGGAGGAAGCCAGGGTACCCAGAGAGAACCCACGCATGCTCAGGGAGAACATGCAAACTCCATGCAACCTTCTTGCTGCAAGGCAGCAGTGCTACACACTGTTCCAATGAGAAGCCCCCCAAAAAATGTATATGTTCTTTATTGTAATATAAAAGTATAAAAGAACATGAACAAATCTGTACAAACGTGACAAACACGAACAGCCTTTTGTGTTGTTTGTACACATAAACAGGATGGAAAGCACAGGAACTTTGCAGAGAAGAAATTGCCTTACTATTGCCGTCTGAGTTGATTTCTATAAAGCTTGAGGGTGTGAAAGTGGAGAGGTTTCATTTACTGGTTACTACAGTAGTGAATTTATTGCAGACTGTTTAAAACGATTCTCTGCTGTTTTCCTAGTGTGTTCTGGAGTGTGTGGTTAGAGTTATCCGTGATAGATATCCGTTTTTTTTCAGCATCTTTGTCCTCAGCACCATCTTTTAAGTGACCCGCCTCTAGCCAATTATGGAGACTTTCCTATCAGCTTTCAGTCTGTTGTTCTTGCTGAGTCCAAGGCTATTCCCAACGGGGAAAAAAACAGTAGTGAAAAGCACTCTGGCGGCAACAGAATGTTTAACATCTTAGACTTAGACAGTGTATACAAAATGAAATTTCATTCAGTGCAGCTCTCAAGACATTTTAATTTCTTAAAGTGCAGCAGTGATAAAATGTAAGTATGGTAACTTGCTGCAGATGTTAAAGAATAGGAAATGTCCTTAGGAATTAAAGTTTGCTCATCCCCATCTCATATACAGCTTTGGTGTCCTATATCTCTCTTGCTCTCTATACAGCAAGGAACATGGAGTTCTTCACCTCTACTACACCCTGTTCCTGGCTTTACAAAAGCTGTGCAGCAGTCTTTATTTCTATTGCAGGCGACTCCTTGCAGCCTTGTCTACAAAGTCTTTTTCATCACTGCTCTATTGTCTTCCTCCTTACAGACATTTTCTGCACATTATTTAAACACAGAATACGTTCCTTGTTCTGCTCCTTTTGCACTAACACCTCAGAAAGACCACAGCCCAACTGTGCAAACTGTGACCTTTCAGTAGAAAAAACCCTGGAGATTTCCACAGTGTTTCCCCTCACTTTCCAACTACAGCAGATAGATGAATCCATCAACATTATCCAAGGTGGTCTGATAACAAACATTTTTCCATTTGTACATTTTACAATCGTGGCTTAAATGCGGACTCGTTACTATTTTTACTATGCTGATGAAGGTTCTCAGTCATCCGGGTCATAGTCATTCAGTGAAAATTTAAAAAATATCCACTGGACTTGGTTTCCAAGATTTGAAGACGTTTCGGGGAAGCTTTATCAATTCAAATTGAATCGATCGTTATTCAGATATTACAGGCTAACGATGGAACCAAACAACCCATTCATCGGTTACCATTTGCATGTGTCCAAGCGATACAAGGCTTTGTCTATATAACACTCAAACTCACTGCGGATCCAGACATTTCAATTGAGAAAGCTTCCTGGAGAGGTAGCGAAACGTCTTCAAATCTTGGAAACCAAGTCCAGTGGATATTTTTTTGAATTTTTACGGAATATTTTTACTATCTGTTGATGCAGTTCTGCCCGTACCAAAGTGCTAAAGAAATGACGTCAGGAGCATGCTGGTCACTGGTTGACTAGGTAGTTAAGTTACCAGTTAAGCATACCTTTTAGACGATGTAAATGCATTTAAATTATTGTGTATATAATGGCAACAGGAAACTAGCATCAAATAACATTAGCTTTATGCATCCTCTTGCTTCTGTGCTTCAGCTGGATACCAGTCCATTGTATCCCTCTCTCTTTTTCTTACCCAACTTCCTCATCTTGCCAACTTCAGCCTTCTCTGGCTCTCTAGTATACAATTGGCTAAAGCTATAAACTGGGCAGAAGGTCTTTAATCATTGCCTTGGGCACATTTCGCTATAACAACACTGCCTAAATGGAAACCCATCCCTAGAGAGGAGTTAAGCCCACCACCCTCTGTGGCGTCTTTATCAAGTTATGTGAGGGAAACAGGTCATTCCAGACCTGGCCTGTAGTTACAGTTAGTCAGAGAAGGAAGAAAGTAAGCAAGGTTTGAAGGAAATGATGCAGAAAGGAAGTAGTAGAGGTTGGTGGAGGAGTAAGTGTTGTGGCAAGTACATATAACCAATTTTACAATTAGCTTTTATCTCAGCTTTTTACCTTGAAAATGTACCAGGCTATAGAAGAGCTCTACAATGAAAAGAAGCAAATGTTCTCTGTCTCAAAGCTGTTATCGAGCATGATTATGATGAACAGTACTATAGTAATTGCAGAAGGTGATTTTACGTCCAGTGCTTACTCCACTGTTTCTTATTACCTAGCGGTTTATGTGATAAGTAACAGCAGATAGATCTCAGTCCATTTTAAACATAATCCTGCTATTATTTACATCAGATTGTCAAAGTGGGGTGGCGGAATGGTTGAGGACCCAAGTGAGTGACCCAAGAGATGAGGAGGCGGAGATTTGTTTTGCTGATTAATTGAAAAAGGCAACAGAAACAAAATCCAAGAACCAACATACAGGAAACCAAAAACCAAGAGACATCAGGGGAAGACACACATGGGGAGCCAAGTAACTGAAGAGGAGGAGTATTTATGGGGGACAGAACAAAGAAGGGGCTAATCAGCTGATATAGAGCTGGTGTGGATAGAAGTAACTAGAAGGGAACTAGGGGAAAGGAGAGAGGCACAAGGGGCAACAGAAAGTAACTAATAAAATGCAACACAGCTTAAATATAACACAGAATGGACAATAAACCAATGACCAACAAAACGGAATTACATAAATTGCTGGAATATATATAAAAAAAAACCTCAAAAAGAAGTCCAAAAGGGGAAAAACCATAACACCGATTCAGATTTCTCTGTGGTCCTCAAAAACTTTCATTACATTTTAAATTCCTTCGCATACAGTACTGCCTCCTCACGCATCTTACCTACACAAGGTTTTTTTCACAATCTCTGAAGCAATTGCTACACTGCAACGAGCAATTTTAATGGAAACACAATCATTATTTTCATCAGCAGCAAAAGAGAAGCAGATAAATGCATCTTGTGTGTAAAGTGCAGCTTAGTGCAATATGCCATTATGGTCAATGATTTTAACCTTTGCTGGCAGTCAGTGTAGATGCTTCAGTCTCAGGGCATCTTGCACACAAAAATCCATTTCGTTTTGTATTATTCATAGATTTTGAGCTTGTCACAGAAAGGCTTTACCCTCTAGAAAATGAATGTGTGGAAATCTTTTTGTCACTAGGTCAGATTAGCCAGTCCTCCTTAACCACCGTCCAAAACTTCATTTGACCTTTTCAGACACATTTTATTGTTTCCTGTGTGTATTAAATGTAACTTTGTTTAATGTAGGCATCATGCAGTTTTTTTGTTTTTAAATACAATTTAATTATTAAAAAAACATTATAAATCCAGTGAAACACTTCCTGGCTGCACCCTTTTCTATACCTGTTTCTCCTCCCTCATCCCTGCTACATGCAATGTGAGGGCCTTTCCCTTGACAGGTATCACATTAGTATGACAGTATCCTGAACAACTTCACTTGGCATCCCAGCAAGATGGAGCATATAGGCAATTTAGGGTAGTACTCCCTGGTCCTCAGATCAAAGTCCTATTCCTCTGGGACTGAAGCACCTACCAGTTATGTACAAAGACCCTGTGTGTTGTATGGCATTTAAAGGTGTGAAAAGCATGGAAAGTTTTTCTTGTGCATTCTCATAGCAGTCTGGTAACTCTCATCCTCCATCATATAATGTAGGACGCAATGTTGTCTTGATGTATCCCAGCAGACCTCCTTAGGACCCTTGAAAACTAACCACAGTGTTGCTGATTTTTAAATTAGTAAGGTAGTTTTAATTTGCTATAGTCCAACTGATGATGTTTATATATGTAGAACCTTAAAACCATCCGAATGCTAGTGCAGTATTTTAAAGTTTAATAAAGGTCTTTCTACATATTTGCATAATTGTTGATATTGCACGGAAATAAAGGTGAATTGTCTAGTTAAGGACTAAACTAGGATGGATTCACATGGTTTCCCTCCTCAATGGTTGGATATTAGGTTCCAACAGAACAGTGATCCAGTTCAAACAGGAAACTGGCTTTGGAATGAACAAGTTGCTCACAAATACTTCAAACCTACTAAAGAATGCAAGGTTTAAACTAAAGGGAAACAAAAAGTTTAAATGAACTTTACAAATTCTATTGAAAATAGTCAGCAAATGTCCGTCCATCCGTCTGTCCGTCCATCCATCCATCCTTTTTAGATGCATCTCAGCAAGAACTTAATCTTTTTAAGTATCGTTTTTTAAGAACTGTCAGTGGTCAAATTACTATAAGTGCTGTTTGAATTAAATACCTTTAACATGAATCATTCTTTCTTTATATCCATAGTTAACATTTACATTTCTAATTAAACTCTTAGAAAACACCCAATGAGAAATTTGGAAAACTCTGTTTTGACATGACAACTATCTAGAAACACCAAGTTTTAGAAAACCCACAATAGGTTTTATGTTGACCGTTTAAGAATAAGCAGAGTTGAATTTTGGATAGTACTGGCTTCAAATGAATTGTTATTAGATAAAATGTATTGCCCACATTCATGTGTCTGGCGTTAATATAAACAAATATGTTAGCCTGCTGAAATGTTGCCATGGTGATGACCCTTAACTCTGCACCACATGGTTTGAGAGAGTGAGCATTCTGGCCATCCTGCTGAACTGTGTGACTCTGGGGATGTTCCAGCCTTGCGGCCACACCCCAAGCTTTCTGCAGGTAAAATACACCAACCTAAACAGCAGCCCACACATTAACATGCATTGAAATGAGAAACATATTATAAACATATTATAAAGCCCTGACTTTTATTCCTCTAATCATTTTACACTAATCCTCTATGTGCATGTGTTTATTTGTTTGTGTGTTTAGACCCTGGACGACGGTATCTTTGCTTTTTTTGCTGGGGAAATGGTGGTAAAGATGGTTGCTCTCGGGGTCATAGGTCAGAAAGGTTATCTAGGTGACACATGGAACAGATTGGACTTCTTCATTGTTATTGTGGGGTAAGTGCCTTCCAGACACAGACACACACATACATTCATATGACATTAACTGTGAGCCAAAAGTGTGTACGTGTGTGCTTTGTGTAAAGCTTAGACACTTGTTTAATGCCAGTTAAATGTCAAGCGTGTGTTCGTGTGAGCTGAGACGTACATGTTTGGGGATGTATGAGTGTGCGTGTGATAGCTTCATAGAATGACAATGTCATTACTCCGTCCTCAGAGGGAAACAGACCTCAGCGACTTGTACTTAAAAGGCTTGTATCCCAAAGAATGCATTCCCTATAGACTCCTAGAGTTTGCCAAGGTCAGACTGATCCAGATGCCAGTAACATTGGTGGCTTATCCCATCCGCTGCAGAATGCTGGAGTACTCACTGGACGGACACAATGTCAGCCTATCAGCTATCAGGACTGTTCGGGTTCTCCGCCCTCTACGAGCTATCAACAGAGTTCCCAGTAAGTTTGTTTCCTCCTTGTTTCTCTGGCATGTGGATTATTAACAAAGCTTTACTCAGTATAATTATTCCCTTTTCTGTTAAAGGGAAACAGTTTCTCTCTAGTCAACATTAACATGACCTTGGCCTTTTTTTAAAGGTTACAAATCATGATTTCTGTGCTTTTCCTTTTCCTTCATAAATACTTTCTGTTCAACTTTCAAGGTCCAAACTAAGCAAAGCAATTCTCTACTTAGATTACCTTGTTTGTAACCAAAGTTTTTCTTTTGTATTTGAAGAAGATGTGCTGGAGAAAAAAGAGATAGGAAAATGTTTTCTGAAGGCCATTTTCACTAGTTGAAAGGAATTGAAAGGCCTTTAAAGTAGCTGCAATAAGCCACCCCCCTCAGTCACAGCATCTTTCACATGGGTGATAACCAAAGGTAGAAAATGGGTCTGGGAGTTTTTTTTTTTTTTTTGAAAAAAAGAGTTTACAAGAAAAGTAAAAAAATGCTAAATTGAAAAATATATAATTGGGGCTTGTCTTCACTTTATCCACAGATAAGAAAAATTGTGATAAGGTGATTTAAGGAGGCTCTTTTTGCTTCATTGGTTTTAACATTAAATCTGTTATGTGTTCAAGCTATTGTTGCCTGGAACAGGTATTGTTCTAAATTAACGTTTACTATCTAAAGCTACCTGTTTTTAGACTTATCGCAGGCAGATTTGTTGTATAAAAGTAGCTCTGGTTCTTCATATCTGTATTAAGAAATAGTTTAAGCCAAAGAACCTTTCCCAAATGAAGAATGCAATTACTCCTCTCATCAAGCAGTACTGTAACTTTTAGCCACTAGGGGGGGTAGGCCTATAACTCCCATGTTTTTGCCTTAGAAACAACTAACTGGTGACACTGCACTGTCAAAAAATTGAAGTCAACTACTTTGTCTTGGAATCTAATAGGAGATCACTTTTGTCTAGCAGACTTAGAAGTCATAGAGTTACTTTTAAAGACAATTGTAATTGGTACTTGTAAAGACATAGTCCCATTATATGCCTACAAAAAAAGAAAACGGCCAAAAACTATTTGATCATCATAGAATAAAATTATACATATCAACCATCCACCCTGATAGTGTTTTGATGGTCTTTTCTAGAACTAGCCTAAATTACAGCACTGGGTGAAGTGAGCATGTATAAACAGAAAGCCATCTGCCGGCAATACTGCAGAACTATCAGAAAGCCAGAAGTATACAATTCATACAGCTCTTTATTACAGTCTAACCAAGCCTGGCTGTTCTGCAATGCCTCAGCTCGGGCATGGTTGAAGACCAACCAGTTTTAATCCAATAAACTGATCTACAGAAAATCTAAGTTCCCATTAATCCTCACCAGAGCCTCCTATCAGAACGTACAGTGGGTACGCAAAGTATTGAGACCCATTTAGATTGATCACTCTTTGTTTCATTGCAGGCATTTGCTGAAATCAAAAAAGTTATTTTTATGTCTCATTGATATACACTCAGCACCCCATTTTGACAGAAAAAAATGAAATTTTGAATTTTTTGCAAATTTATAAAAAAAAAAAAGAAAAACAGAAATATGAAAAATTGTAATAAGAATTCAGACCCTTTGCTGTGACGCTCATAGGCTACGTTCAAGACCCTTTGCTGTGACGCTCATAGGCTACGTTCACACTGCAGGCCTTGAAGCTCAATTCCGATTTTTTTGTAAAATCAGATTTTTTTTAGCGGTCTTTTCCAACTATAAAAACACAATCTTTTCAATATGTATAAACATAAATACTGCTCTCTGCATCATCATCTGCCATAGTTGTAGTTTTTCTTGCTGCTTCTGCTTAGCAAGACACAGAATAGTGACCTTTGTCGGGTATTAATTACGTTCAGGTCGGATGAATCCAACCTGGCCGTTCAGATACAGGTCACATTTGAAAAGATCAGATTCGTATCGGATTCAGGACCACATAGCCAAGTGGCCTGAGTCGCATTGAAAAAATCGGATCTGTGTTGTCCAGACAGCCATGAAAAGATCAGATCAAGGGCGCATATGGGCAAAAAAAAATCGAATTTGGGTCACTTCAGGCTGCGGTGTGAACGTAGCCATATTTAACTCACATCCTGTCAATTTCTTCTGATCCTCCTTGAGTTCTGCCCCTTCATTGGAGTCCAGCTGTGTTTATTTAAACTGATTGGACTTGATTAGCAAAGGCACACACCTGTCTTTATAAGACCTTACAGCTCACAGTACACGTCAGAGCAAACGAGAATCATGAGGTTGAAGGAACTGCCAAAGGAGCTCAGAAACAGAATTGAAGCACAGATCTGGCCAAGGTTACAAAAGAATTTCTGAAGCTCTCAAGGTTCCTAAAAGCGCATTGGTCTCCATTATCCTTAAATGGAAGAAGTTTGGGACGAGCAGAACTCTTTCTAGACCTGGCAGTCCAGCCAAACTAACCAATTTTGGGAGAGGAGCCTTGGTGAGAGAGGTAAAGAAGAATCCAATGATCACTGTGACTGAGCTTCAGAGATGCAGTATGGAGATGGGAGCAAGTTCCTCAACTATCACTGCAGCCCTCCACCAGTCGGGCCTTTATGGTAGTGTGGGCCGACGGAACCCTCTCCTCAGTTCAAGAAATATGACAGCCCACATAGAGTTTGCCAAAACAACAAACAAACATTTGAAGCACTCCCAGACTATGAGAAAGAAGATTCTCTGGTCTGATGAGACCAAGATTGAATTTGCCGTTAATTCTAAGTGGCATGTGTGGAGAAAACCAGGCACTGCTCATCACCTGCCCTATACTATTCTAACATTCAATCATGGTGGTGGCAGCATCATACTATGGGGATGTTTTTGAGCTGCAGGTACAGGACAACTGGTTGCAATTGAAGAAAAGATGAACTGTTTGTCTGCATTATTTTCAAATTTCTCTTGGAAGTGCTACTTTGGTTAGCACTCCCTTCTTTGTTTTTCCCTCTGTGCACATGCTCAGTATAGTACCTCTATTGGTATCTTAAATATACACAAACTACTTTTTTTTACTAACAAACTAAGCAAAAACAAACGAACAGTTTTTGGCTGGACAAGTTATTGAACTGATTGCAGTCCGTGTTTAACTGGCTGAAGACCCAACTGAAGGCAACAAGCCCAGAAAAAAGAAAGGAAAGTAGATGGCGGCAGAATATGCTTGGCAGGAAAACAGTAGCAGAGATACCAACAGTCTGCTTCTGATGTCTTTACGTTGCAGACTCTTGAAAGACACTGAGTAAAAAAATTGTGAATTAGAGCTTGGTAGTCAGACCTAAGTTCATTAAAACATTCAGGTGTTGTTATCAGACCATGCAAGGAACTACCTGCTGCTTCTCCACTGCTGATCTGAGGTAAAATTGCCCTTTACTGAAAGTCAGCCAAGGAAAAAAATGCATCAAACGTCCTTGCAATACGTGACTATGCTGTAAAAATGACTTAATTTCTTTAACCGGAAACAGAAGAGATGTATCTGTTAGCAACTGCTGCCCTCGTTGTGATGGATGCATGCGCAAATAAATCAAAGCACTGTGAGCAAAGTCAGTTAAATAATTGTGATGCTTGTGTCGTTCTCTGCAGCCCAGTTCACAAGCGTTCCAAACCAACTTAATTTTTTTCTTTACTGCACCCAGTGACCTTCGCACAGCTCAGTGTGTAAACTCAAAGGGCCAAAAGAAGTATTTTGTTCGACAAGTAGGACAGTGGATTAATAATTATTAGTGTTTTGGGTTCTACTGAACTTGAAAAGATCTATGCTTGTGTTTTGCATGAAGTTTTCAAGGTTTCAACAATATAACCTGGCTTTATGCAGAGGTATTAACATTATTATTGGAAAGATAACATTTCTTATATTGTTTACATTTACCCATTTTCTAGAGATAATTGATAACATTCTGGTTTGGATTTTATTCTAATAAGAAAGCTTATTCTTTAATAGAGGAAAAATGGAGTGGCATTTTGTACCTTTATGTAGACTATAGTACCCAGCTGACTGACAGGGAAACAGGTGGGGAAGGGGTAACCTTACACTATTTTCAATCTAAATGAAGAGGCTTTGCAGGAACCAGTTTGAAATCAATTTGATGTGTTTTGTTATCAAAATCTTGTGTCCTGGTTTTGATATTTTGTGTCTTTTTCAGGTATGCGCATCCTGGTGACCCTCCTCCTGGACACGCTTCCAATGTTGGGCAATGTGTTGGCGCTCTGCTTCTTTGTTTTCTTCATCTTTGGCATCGTGGGTGTTCAGCTGTGGGCGGGGCTACTGAGGAACCGCTGTTTCATGGGAGACGATTTCAGAATGTGAGTTTGTAGAAAAGCCAGGCACAAGTAACACCAATCAATGTGCTTTCTCGTTACATTCAATTCTTTGTCAACAAATTGCAGGAAAGGCTCTTCCACCATGCTATTATTTCAGAGTTGATACCACTGACAGTTTGATCCTGTTTGTGTTCTAATCAGTTCTGCCTGGCCAGTAAATCTATAGATGTTTTCTACTTTTAAAGCAGTAAAGCAGTAGGAAGGGTAAATCAGGCTAATGGGGGTACAACTGTTTCTGTTTCTGTTTAGTCAGAGTTTGAGTCTCAGTTGCTGTTCGTAATGTGAATTACACTTTCATTGTTCGTCCTTCAGCCTACGTTTAATAACTGTCTGACTGATTCCTTTACGCCATTACTCTCAATGGTGGGACCACTCACATAGCATCAGTTCAGCATCATTTTTGCATTTGAATTCCCTGCTCCTCATCTGACAGACCTATAAAATCCCTCATGGGGCTGTTTTGCTGGAATTCTGCTGTCTCTGCACCTCAAGAACAACTTTATGTCACAAATTGGCTCTAAGAAATATAACAAATAGTGAGACCATGCAGTACATTTCACATATTTTGACTCTAAAAGGAGACAAAACAGCCATTCAATTTGGGGAATCAGTGGCAGTTCCTAACTGTTTCTATTAACTAACTGTTAAGATGTTTTTTTGGTAGAACAAGTTTATTTTTGAAGCCCATTTATGTTTATCAACATAAATCCTATGATGTATTATTTTTATTGTCACCGCTTTTTACCCTGAATTATCTTTGCATTAAACCTATCCAGGCACTTTGTGCTCTTTTGGGGTTTAGGAGTAAATAGTGAGTAGAAGTAACATAAGATCACGAAACAAGGAATAGTAGGTTCATCAGAAAGAGAGATGTCTACAAAAAGATTAATTAATAATTTTGATAATTCTGCAATAACTGTAGAGTTTAAAAAATCTGTATATTGGAATTTGTCATGCTTGTTTAGTTCTACATGACTCCTTTTACCAAAATAAACCGCGGGAATTGAATTGTTTATATTTCATGAGGAGTAAAAAGAGTCTGAGCAATTTAAATATTTCATGTTTTGAAATATTTGAAACTTGATCAAATCCAGAGCCAACTGACTCAAAACTATGAAATAGCCCTTTAGCAATCCTCCAACATGAAGCTGTGAGACAAAACTGTGCTATTCCACTGATAACTCAGCATGTTCCAACTTGTATTGTTCTGTCCTGAAGTAAGATGAGTAACGGAGGAGATATAAAACATGAGTCCCACTGCAGTTTAATTGTTGTTGACCTCCAGCTTGAAAAAAAGCTGTTATATGCTGTTCTTTTGACAGAGCCTATTGCCTTGTTGCCAACGTCAGTGCTTAAGGTGGTTGAAACTGAAAATATCTGGTGTTAAACACTGGCAAACCTGAGATATGAACATTTATGTTGCATGCGTGCAGTGAAGATATTAAATGTGCAAGCAGTAAAACGGTTTATTGCCTGGCTGTCTGCTGAGAGGGAGAAACGCACAGGATTGTTTTTATGACCTGCGAGGACCCCAATGATCGACACTGGTATAGATGCAATGAACAAGAACAAACCACAAGACAGCAGCGTTACGAGATATCACTTATGAAAATATCAAAAATCAAGGTAAAGAAATGCACACGAGTATTTTCCTAATGTATGTTTAAAGGCAATAATATATTTTAATGCATCCTAGCTGAATATTTCACTCTGACTCTAAAATCAGGAACAGTGTTGAACAGAAAACACAGGAAACTCATTACATGTGTATCTCCGATGCTTCACCCCGGAAGCAACAGCCTTGAGCTGAATTGATCAGAACTTTCCCTCAGAGTCTTTTCTCCTGTTTGTTCTCACACATAGCAGCTATAGTGCTGTTGCACTGTTTCTTGTATATTTGCACAATGACCTTTACCTTTTTGCTCAAAGCTTTTTGTTCTCCTTACATTTATTGCTAGTGTTGCAATTTGGATGTGTTTGCTTTTTCATGAACGCAAAATGACCTTCCCTAATAAGAAGAGGCAAAGCATTACTCCTTTGTGAACCCCTTTCTTCACCAATGATTTATTGCTTCTCTATCTTTTCCCAGCAACCTCCCTTGTTTAATTCCATTCCCTTCATCCATATTTCCCTCCCTCTGTGTTTATGCTCATTTCTTCAGTCTCCACCCCTGTGTGCTTCATACCGTCTGTTTATTCTAGTCAAAACAAATTCCTTTCCTGGAATTCAATAAGCTGTTGAAATTATTTATTAACCAAACATGATTCGGATATCAATAAATCATTTTTTTTCAAATAGCGTTTTTAATGTTCAATTCCAAAAATTGAAAGATCTAATTTCTTAACCGATACAACTAAAAACAAATTGAACATCATTTTGTTAAAAAGGCATTAAAGTAGCATCTAAATATTGATAGAATCCTAGGATTTAAAAATCCAAAGATCACTGTGACTGACACCCCTTGATTTTATTTACATTTTATCGTGTCACAACCACTCTGCACTATTCGCATGTTTACTGAATAAAACAATGAAAATATGTAATGGATGTAAAGTAAAAATAAAATGACACCTTTCCAAAGATTGTCTTATAAATCAAATCTAAAAAGTGTAGTCTGCATGTTTTCCACACTTATTTATTCTGTTACCACCAAACAAATAAAATCCAATGCAATCAATTTCCTTTAGTAGTCACACCATTAATAAATACAGCCCCCTTCTGTTTAATTTAATCTCAGAATACAGTGCCTGACAAAATGATTCATACCAGCTTTACATTTTTATAATTTGTCAGATTGCTGCCTAATAAACTATTAGTCATGTATACAGGAAATCTGGCTTTTATGACAGATTGAAAAAAAACACAGAAGTGGCTAATACTGAAACACACTTGTAGTTTGCAACAAGCCATGTAGAGGTCACAGCAAACAAGAAACTAATTAAAATATCCTTTTTTTTAGATGGGGACAAAACCTTACTGTTTAACCTACATGTAAAACAAATATATGTAGAATAACAATAGCAATGGCCATAACCGTAAACATAGCATCCCTCAATAAAACACAGTAGTGGCACCATAATGCTGTGGGGTTGCCTTTTTTTTCTTTACTCTGACCGTCAAAATGGTCAGAATTGATGAAAAGGAGGAGAGAGTTAAATAAAAGACAATCCTGGAAAAACAACCAAAGAGATGTTAAAACCTGTAATAGACTAGAGACCAGGGTTTTTTACCTTCCACAGAAAGATAAAACTCTCAAAACACAGTTAGAGCTACTGCGCGATGTAAAGGAGGAGCTGTGGTACAGTAAGACATGAACGTTGATGTTCACAAATGCAACTGGGCAAAGAAAATCGAGCAATACATTTTTCTCTGGGTGTAGAAAGCTAGAAGAGACCTACAGTATAGTAAAAAACGGGGAGCTGTAAATGCAGCACAAGGCTATGAAGCGTTGACCTAGGCAAGCTTAGTTAAAATGCATGACTCACTTCTCAGAATTGTATTTGTGAGTAATGTCGTTAACAATGGAATATTTCCCTATTACTTCACTGATATGTGTTTTAGTACTTGATTATATTCTATCCCTTTTTGCTGTATTTCCTGACCTTTCATATAGAAGTTAGATAGAATGAATTGTTTGAATATCAGGATAATATCAGCTGCCACAGTCACTAGACATACTTCAATAGATACTCTTTAAACTTGGAAAACAGATGATCAAAGCTGTTTCAAATTATTCAAAAGCTGAAGCAAGTTTTGTTTGTTTAAAAGTTTTGCTCTGTAATGTTATATCTTTTAAGGAGGTACAACATCAGCTTCCTGAATGGTTACTATCGGCCTGATGGCACAGATGATCATCCGTTCATCTGCTCAATGGAGAGGGAAAATGGGATGCTTCGGTGCTCTGATGTGCCTCGTCGTCGTGTGGGCCGGACCTACTGCTCTCTGAGTGCGGAAGATGCCCATTCTGAGACGGGACTCACTGTAGATGGGCCAGTGTCGTGTGTGAATTGGTACCAGTACTACAACGAGTGCCGAGCTGGGGAAATAAACCCGCATAAAGGAGCTATTAACTTTGATAATATCGGATATGCATGGATTGCTATATTTCAGGTAAAATCTTTGCAGAATTAATTTACAGAACTGAATAGTTGATACTTATTATCATTAACTGCCTCCCACTGTGGTTACTTTTGAATTATTTTATTCAGGTTATTACCCTGGAGGGTTGGGTAGATATCATGTACTACGTCATGGATGCACACTCATTCTACAACTTCATTTACTTCATCTTTCTCATCATTGTAAGTAGTCCAAAAAAAACTCCCACTGATTTATCCCAAAATGTTAAACTTATCTGAAACTGTTGTTTGCACTGTTTGGTAGGTGGGTTCCTTCTTTATGATCAATCTGTGCCTGGTCGTCATTGCCACCCAGTTTTCTGAAACTAAGCAGAGAGAACATGCCTTAATGAAATCAGAGGAGCGAGCCCGGCAGCTCCACCAATCAGCTTCCACGCTGGCAAGCGACAGTCAGCCCGGGAGCTGCTACGAGGAGATCATCCGATATCTGGCCCACTTGGGTCGTAAAGCATGGCGACGGCTCTGCCGCTGGATTGCTCTCTCCCGTTCGCATCTCCGCTGCACATGCATCTGCCGGAAAGGAAGCGGGCCAGCTCGAGGGGGCGGAGCAGGGGAAATGAACGGACTTGCCAACCGGCATTCTGGTCACGCCCCCAATGACTTACTACACCTTCATCAAGTTTATCATCTGCACCACCAGCAGCATCACTATCCACAGCAGCAGCATCAGCCTCAATCTGCGCTGGCCGTCAGTAATGGAGGAAACGGGTTCAATTATCCCTTCATATCACCGCTCCTCAGTCACCTGGATGATAAGGACCAGGACCAGAAGAGGGTGGTTGCCATGGAGACCATTAACAGACTGCCACAGCTGGTGCTGGAGCACAGTAAGTGGCTTGAGTGTTTAATTATTTGTGTGAGTTTTTGAAAGTGTTTTTTTTTTTCTATTTTAACACAACTTAGAATAGAAAATCCCTTTATTGTCCCACAATGGCGAAACAGGTGTTTTAAAGCTGCAAAAATATTATTTAAAAAATGGTACCACAAATGTGGGCTTTAGAAAAGCTTATAAGAATAACAATAGTGAAGAGTTAAAAATATAAACAAATAAAATACTCTCCTGTACAGTGTTTTAACAATATAAATACCTGGATAATATATAACCAATATACAGCTATGGACATTCTTACAGTAATGGATATTTGAAAATAGCAAAAACATCAGAGATGTGCAAAATGACAGCAGCATGTTATTTAACTGACTAAGGTAGAAACTGTGCAAAATCAGGATTAATGGGTAGCATAGCATAGCATGTGATCGATCCTGTTAGCATTGTCTTTACTCATCAGTAAACACATGAAATGATGATGATCATCAAAAGACATATTGCTTGTTCTGTCCCTAATTATGCCAGATCTGCAAACCTTTTTGTCCATGTCCATTGGAAGGCTTGAGTTTCACCCAGCTGCAACTCAGCAGTCAGGGCAGCAACAGCCAGGGGTTTCTTTGTCTCAGTCTCACAGCAGGGGTCCTCTTTGTCTCAGTTGCTAATCAAGGCAGGCTTTCTCGTCCAGTCTGGCTCTATAAGTTTTAAAACTCAGGAGAAATGGGGTCTGTTTTGCAGCAGTTTGGTTCTGAAAGGTCAGTTTCCTTGATGATTCTGGGTCCCCTTGGGCCCGCATCTCACTGTAGTGGAGAACCAGCCAAAGCAGACCCCAGCTTCATGGGGAAGGGAGAGGAGGCAAAGACAAGGAATCTGGTTTTCTCTGTGATTTTCTCTGTCCACACAGAGAGGGAGGTGGTTGGTCACACCTCTCTGGGAGTTCCTGTGACTAGAAAAAGGAGGGGGGGGGGTAGCAAATTTGCTTGCGTTCTCTTCTCTGGTCATCATGTCAAGAGGAAATATGGACATTGGCTCCCAATGTCCAAAAAGCTTGATCATGGCATATCACACAACAAGGGTAACAACTTATTGAGGTTGTTGGGAACAGTCATGGTTATAGATCTTACAGCTGCTGGGAGGAAGGATCTGTGATAACGTTTCCTGGTGCATTTAGGGTGCAACAGTCTGAAGGAGCTCTCCAGTTCTGCAATAGGCTTCATGCATGGGGTGGGAAACATTATCCAACAGACATATTAATTTAGTTAGGGTCCTCTTGTTTCCCTCTGCTGTGATTGGAGTCCAGATGGCATCCAGTCACAGAGCTGGCCTTCCTGATCAGCTTATCCAGTTGCTTTCTCTCAGCTACAGATAAGCCGCTGCTCCAAAAGATAGCTCCATAGAAGATGGCTGATGCCACAGCAGAGTCATAGAAGGTCTTTAGGAGCACCCACTACACTCAAAAACACCTCAGTCTCCTCAGCAGGAAGAGTCTGTTCTGACCTTTCTTATACAGAGCCTTAGTGTTGTGAGTCCAGTCCAGTTTGTTATTCAGATGAACACCTAGGTACTTGTTAGAGTCCACTATCTCAATGTCCTTTCCCTGGATGTTCACCAGTGTCAGGGACGTGGATCTGCTTCTGCCAAAGTCTGCCACTAGCTCCTTGGTTTTCCCTGCATTAACCAGAAGGTGGTTCTGCTGGCACCAGACCACAAAGTTCTTTGTGGTGCTTGAACTTTTATGTGCATTTATTTTCCTTTTATTTTAAATATATTTTAACAAGCATTATTATTATTACTTTATGGGCACTGATTCATATTTTCTGTGCCAGTTGTTTTGTTTCTGTTAGAATTCGGGTTGCATGGTATCAGATGGTTAGCACAGGTGTCCCATAGACAGAAGGCCCTGAGTTAAAGTCCCAGTCTTTCTTTGTGGATTTTTTATTTCTTCCTTGCAAAATAGATTCCTTTTTCCAGGTAACCAGGTAGGCTTGTCCCAGTGTAAGGTTAGATAATCACTGTGTGATAAGCTCTTGTTACAATATTTTCACAGTATAAGAATACTTTCCCAAACAACTTAAAGTAAAAATGTGTAAATCTATTCATCTTTTATTTACCAAAAAAAAGCAAGGTACACCCCTGTCCTATGTGATATCATCTAACACTGGTAGGATCTCAATGCCTTCAAAGGCCAGACAAAAAATATTGTTTTAACAGTGTGTTCTGGGTATTCTAGGTATCATCATCTCCTAGTGACTCATGCTCCAAAAGGGGGACCCAGGAAACCTCCTTATTAGATGCCTTAACTACCTCAATGGGCTTTATGCCCAACCTCACTACTTCCTGAACTTAAGTCAGCTGTGTTGTCTGAGCTGTCTTTCTTTACTGGAGAGACTGATTAATCCATGTGTGTCTGGCCAATGTCATCATGGCTACTGAGGTCAAACACACCTGAATTGATCCGTCTGACAAGGGAGGAAAGACAGGGAACAAAGAAGCTGGCTGAAGTTCAAAAAGTAGTGGAGTTGGGCAAAAAGCAATTGATTCAATGCAGAGGAGCAGTGGCTTAACTTCTGCTCCCACCGAATAGCAAGCTTCTTTCCGTATCTTTATGGCTGAGTCCAACCACCTTACGGAGGAAGTCCACACACATGCTGCTGTCTCATTCAAAGGGTACTTTTAATATACCCGAGAGTTTTTTACACATTAGAGCTGTAAGTAATGATAGTTTTGCTAATCGATTAATCTGGATAAATTTTTCGATTAATCAATTAATAATCGGTTAGTGAAAGCTTAAAATTTTCCACATGAGGAGTTATGGATTGAGCATATTGATGGAGAAAAAAGTTTTTCATCTTAAAGGTATGTTTTAGAGTCTCTATACTCCATTTAACAAATTATTAAACCACTAAATTAGTTGATGATATTTCAATAAACAATTTATCATAATTAATCCAATTAATTGTTTCACCCCTGGTCCACATGATATTTTTCGAATATTCAACCCATATCAAACTCTCTCAGGTGTGTCTAATGTCATTCTTAAGGTTTAGAGGGCATCAATTGTGTCTGCTGACATAAACAAACAGTTTTAACAAACTGATGGATTGTTGACTCATTAAGCTATAACTTTCAGATATTTTCAGGCTGTAATGCCCACATGTTCAGTACGTATGCCTTTCTTATCAACCTGAAAATACTATATTTGAATGAGAGTCAAGGGTAAGATCTGTGACAAAGCACTCATCTGTCATCAATGGTTTAAAAATAATAGTACAGGAGAATGCAAAACACAATTTATACACAGTTGTATAGCAAGCATAGCGCTGATTTTGGATATTGGAATTTACCCAGGGCTGCATTTGAAAGGAGGGAAACTTATCTGTTGCTCACCATTTAACTAGTTGTCTTTTGTTTTTCTGAAGTATGCAGTAAGTGTTTCGTAAGTGTGTGTGAGTGTTTGCTGTCATCAAGAAGTGCCAACTGTTTTAGTAACAGTAGGGGTCAGGCTTTATGTATTCTGTTCTGGCTTCTTTTTCATTAGCTGGAGTGACATGGTAAAATCTTTATCTATCTGAACTGGGGGCAATTACGTCTCCACAAATTGGCAGAGCTTTTATGTAAGTCTGTATTGTAAAAGCAGCCATTTAGGGCTGGAAATAGTAGTCAGTCTCTCTAAATAATACTCAGTCTTCCACTACCCCGCCTAAGACACTTATGAAAGAACCGAGACTACTCATGCCTCTATGGTTCTGAGATTCTGTGTGCATGTGCACACAATGTTGTGGTTTCACCAGACAGGCTTGTGCAATTTAAAAGAGAAAAAGGGTTTATCATTTGCCTATTTGTTGTAGACATATACCTTAAAGGAATGATGCATACTGATTTTTCTCCTGATTAGAAACAATATCTAAGAGTCGCTCTTACCAAAAAGAGCTCATCCTCTCCAATGATGCATAAAGCTAACATGATGCTCACTTGAGATAATAAGCTGATCAGATTTTACCCTCAACAGAGTGATCTCAATTTTACTCTTGTTAGAGTTGTGATGCTGAAAGCCTGATGTACTGCTTGGTTTGTCACAGAAACCCTTCCGGGAAATCACTGTGTTTGGAAAGGGGCCATGCACTTCACTGAGAGGACTAAGACTGAACCATCTTTTTATCTGTAACCATCCATCACGAGCTAACTAAAGCCAATCGGATCAGAACATCTTCCAGAACTGATGTCTAATCAACCTCTCTCCAAATTTCATCAGGATAAAAGAACAAAAAAAACAAAAAACTATTTGATGAAAAAAGATTTTGTTTTACTTAAAATAAAAAAAGTTCTGTCTGTAATGTCATTGACATAAAAGCTTTGTGTCTTTAGGAAATGTCCTTGTTGAATTTTCTTTCAATTAAAACCTGCCTGAAGCTGCTAGTTTGGGACACTGCTTTATCTCCTCTGCCTTTACCACAGTGAAGTCCCTGGAGATCTTGAAAGATGAATTTTTTCACGGTCATGATCCCTTGATTTCTGTGAAAACCCAGCAATGTTGAAGGATATTAAAACAGATCCTCAGCCTCCTTGGGGTAGAAAATTTTGCAATGTATTGAGAGGGCAAGTAGAATGCATTAACCCCCTGGTTTATAAAAATATTCTTCCAGTTATTCTCAAAGCAGCAAGGATGTATTTTTTCTGTACGATGAATCTGCGGGGTACTGTGAGTACAAGTCCATAGTCCTGGAATATATTTAGGTTCTGATTTGGACTGACTTTCAATATATGCCAATTATAATTTCCAGCCTAAAAAAAGTCCACCAAGTAAGTTATTCCCCTGACGAAATGTAACTTTCACCTTAAGCTAATACCTGTATTCACACAATCTTTTAAAACAATCCTGGATCCATATGGTAGTCTGGATCATCACTTTAACATAAACCTTTGTTTCCAGTCACAATATTCACCTCCTCTGAAAATTTCAGCAAAATCCCTCCATGCCTTTTTTTAGTTATGTTCAAAACA